TTTTTTTTTTTTTTTGGTAAAGAACTTAATTTTTAAGTTCTTTACCAAAAAAAAAAAAAAAGGAATAAACAAAGCAAACAAATTCTTTTCAAAAATTAAAGAAATTACACATTTCCTGAATCCAGTCATTGATGTGTGGAGGAATAGCACCTTTCCAGTCACTCAGTATAATTTCCTTGGCTATTTCCCACACCCAATATAACCAGAGTCTCACAAAAATAGACACGTTCCAGAGTTTTGGAATGTAATTAATATCTTTAAGATTAAAACGTTTACCCATAAATCTAGTTATATATGTTACAGTGTCACTCCAAAAAGGAACCAATAACAGGTAAGGCCAAATCATATGGGTTAATGTATCATCAAATCTTTTACATTGTCAACAAAGAAAATCTACGCTCCCTCCTTTCAGATGCATTCTTTGGGATGTCCAGTGAATTTGGAACAAAAGCTTTCAAGGAATTAATTGCAACCTCAAGTCCAAAGAAACACAACATTTTTAAATATTTGCATCCATTGATGTTCCATTATCAGATATTCCAACTCTTTATTCCATTCATCATAAATGTTGATAGTTTCAGCTTTAAAGATATTTTAATTTTTCTAATATAAATACAAAATCTGTTTGATTTCAAAAGCAGAATTCATCAATAATAATAACAATAATAATAATAATTTATTATTAAATGTATATGCTGCCCAACTCCAGGTGACTGGGCAGTTTACAAATCGCTAAACACATTTAAAAACAAGGAAGGAACCACAAAAAAGAATAAAGATGGCAGAAATGACTAAAACAGATAGGAACAAAGAAAAAAGGGGGCTTCAAAAATGAAAGCATCCCTTAGCTTTTTTTGAAGCAGCTAAAACATCTCGTCCTTATTCAGCTGTCAAAGCATCACTAATTGACAGATACCACAAGAAAGAACCGTCTTAGCCTCTTCAAGCAGAGCTGAAGTCCGGCCACCAAGATGGTGTGGTGTCTGGTCCCATCAGTGGTCTCCCTCATTCATCTTAGTATCATTTGATTTTCCCATCTGTTAAATTCTTAGTTTTTCTTTATTATTTTCATATCAATGAAATTTACCCTAGGGGTAAAGCCAGCACTAAAAAATAAACAACCTACCTTTAAAGTAAATTGTTCTACACTCATTGTTTAAAGTTCTGACTGTGAAAGAACTGGTTGAAATTAACATGTTTTCTTGCTTTATTTTAATCAAAGGACAGACTGAGGAAAATTTTAAAAAACTCAGGGACTGCAAGAGGCATCAGTCCTGGGGGGGATTGAGGGCTTATGGGGCAACACAGGTGGCTCTGCAGGTTGTGCCCTCCTGAACATCCCCGTGAGACGCAAATGCAGGGTTTTTTGCATCATTCCGTGTAAATCTTACCTGAGGAAAGCAGCATGGCATGCCTAGGTTGCATTGTCCGCCCAGAATGAGACACCGACAGATTCATGGGTAGCCGAATTTACTTGCCAGCCATGTTTGCGTCTGTGTACTTTATATGAGAAAAGGTGGAGAGGTTTCCTTCTAGAATATTTATGCTGTTGGATATAAATCCGGAACTGCTTTCTTTTTCTATAGTTCCTAGTCCTGCTGCAGCTGCGGTTCCTCGAACTCCATTAAGCCCAAGTCCTTTGAAAACCCCTCCGGCAGCTGCCGTCTCTCCAATGCAGGTAAATGCACTTTAATGGTTTGAAGGAAGCCTGATGCCACATTTAAAGCAGTGCTAGCGTTACACAAAGAAAGAAAAACCGAGAATGCTTTTCAGTAAAAGAGTGTCTTACGTTCAGTATTACTTATCATTTACTTGCCATAATAATACCCAAACGATTACCACCAATTGTGCATCTCCCTCTATCTCATCCACCTTCGAAGAAGCTCTTTCTGAGCCACTGCTGGCCCGCATGGCTTCACATGTCACGAGGTCTCTTAGAGGGGAATGAGCCACACGCGTCTTTGGCTGCAAAGGAGGTGCCTTTGTTTACTCAGCCACAGTTAGGGAAACAGTGAGGTCCAAAGTGAGAAATGTTTAAGAACTCCTTACAAACTAGGATTATCAGGAACAATCTGAACTGTGGTGCCTGAGATCAGAAATCAGAAAACCCTTTCAGCAGCTGATTTTTGTGAGAAGTGGAAATGGGGGCGAACCCTCCAGCTTGTTATTTGTTCCTGTATTCCTAAGCACCCCAGTTGGGAAAAGCAGCAATACAGGGAGTCCTCACTTAACAACCACAATTGGGACCGGCAACTCTGTCGCTAAGCAACACAGTCATTAGGCAAGACATCACATGACCACAACTTGTGATTTTATTGACTTCTCCATCGACTCTGCTTATCAGAAGCCAGCTGTGAAGCGTGCAAATGGCATCATGTGACTGTGGGATGCTGCAATGATCGTAAATGCGAGGGCTGGTTGTAAAGTTTTGTACGCTGCCCAGAGTCCACTGGAGTTGGGCAGCCAATACATTTAAATAAATAAATGAATAATGGCTAAACCAGAGTATGAACTCTGGTCTTTGCGACCTCTGCCTGGCTACTTAGGACTGCCTAGGTATGGTTTGCCTGACAGATTCCTGCAGAGGATCCTTAAGTTACCAATTCAGTCTTCACTGCCGTGAATGTGATGATTAATTATAATGTAATTAAAATGCTCAGCTGCCCTCTCAGGAATCTTGAAATAAAGTCTTCATTCAGTCAAGCCTGGCTTGTGGCAACTGCATGGGCACGTCATTTTTTTCTTGGCAAGAACATGGAAGTGGTTTGTGATTGCCGTTTCCTGTGGGTGGGTGGTTTGCTTTTTTTGCTCGCTTCTCAGTGTAACGTTCAGTCCTGGGATTCCCTGAGCAGATGCAATCCTGCATAGCTGTTTGGAAATCAGCCAGATGGAGCAGAGCTTGCTAGGTGCAGCAATCTCTGGAACAAGTCATTTATCTTAGGTGGTGATGGTCCTGCAGCTGAGATTCTGGCATAAGCCGTTGGCCCTGCTAGTTTTCAACCTGATTCTCTGCCCTTATATGCTCAGCAGAATCATAGTGATGTACTGGGGTTGGTGATGCCTCTCTTGGAGATGTGTTTAAAATTCAGATAGGAACATAATATTCAAGTTGGGCTTTAGCAAGCTGGTTCCTTTCCCTAAAAATAATTTTTCCCCCCTTCAGAGACATTCCATAAGTGGACCGATATCCACTTCAAAACCCCTGGCTACTTTATCAGACAAAAGGCCAAGCTATGCAGAAATTCCAGTTCAAGGTACGTGTTTTTTGGTGTGAGCATTACCCAAACACATTCTTAAAACCCACCAGAATCTCCCTTGGCTAAGAAACATTCACTAATGAGGGGGGCCTGGAAGGATCTTTGCAGAAGACAAATCAGCTCCGTTTCTTTACCTGATTGTGGAGTAATTGGCAGCCTTGCCATGTGTTTCTAGGCCTGGCTGAGCTGAATGATGTCTTGTTGCCTAATTCTGCTGGGCCATTCCAGAACATGACAGTAGTTTGTCTTTGGACTTGTGTTCTGATAATGGGGAGCACAAAGTGATGCACATCACTGATCCGATAGGCAAAAGGTTCCCTCAGCCAATTCCCCCATTGTTGTTTTAAAAACACTCATCAATTCCTGGAGTTTTGCTGAAGTTGCCTGTTTAGAAAAACTCTTTCAGTGTCTTTGTGCATTTTGAGGCACAATCTATAACCTTCTGTTGAAAAATAGTCACATTTGGACTTATCTCTTCTGCCCTACACTGAGGTTTTTCTACTATGACATCTCATATTGATGAAGATACTCTGGTTTGAAATTAAACGTAGATTGAAAATGATGGGTTGGGATCCAAAAAGCCATGGGAAGTATATTTTGTATTTTACCAGTAGAACATTTTTCAAACTATCTTCTCTCTCCACATATGACATTTGAACAAGCTGCTTTTGAAAGATTCAGAAGGATCCCAACTTGTGTTTAATGAGACAGCATTCTAAATTCAAAATTTCTTCTGTATGGACAGTTCTCCATACTACACCTGCATAGTTTTGGATACAACCTAGTTTCCTTATTTACTTTTGCTAGTATTAGGACAGTATTCTTAGAATTTCTTTAACAAAAAATAAGACGTTACAAAACTACTTGTTCCATGTTTATTTCTCCATTTCCAAATATTTTTCTGGCGCTTGGTAGATTTACTTATCAACTTTTCCTTTCAAAGGGCCTTTCCGGTAAGAATGAATGGCTCTCAGATCTGGGTGTAGCTCTTTGATTTATGTCTGGGCTTTTTAAAATAGACCTTTCTCAAGAATAGTTTTCATGTGAACAAGTAATAGGCTTCCTTTTGAACCTGGACAAATAACAGCAGAGTATCAACAATGGAAATTCTTCCGTGTCTTAAAATAATACTTTGTACTAATCTTTTTGCTTGTTTTTTTGAATGCCATTGGCATTATTTAATATACAGGAGAAAGTAAATTGGAATCCAAATTAGTGTATACAGAAATGGGAAAGGGACACTGACTGCCAAACTATTGCATCAGCAACATTTCCTTCTGCCCTGGATCAGAAAATACTGTAAAACTGGGTTTTGTGCAGCATCATTTGATTTATTTTACCAAATCATTTTTATCCCATTCTTTTCTTTCCAAAATAATTCTCAGTGTGGGTTGGAACAATAAGCATTCCAGAATTATAATTAAACAAATACAATGCGATAAAAGTAGAGGCTGATAAATTAGAGAAAAGAAGCTATACACACTAACAATTTAGGACATAAATCAGGTTCTCACTAGAAGAAAAATACCTTCAGCCTGTGGAAGAAAGCCTTGAAAGAAAAGGAGAGCCAATTCTTCCTCGCAGAGTAATAGATACAGCCTCAGAAGAAGGCTATCTGGCATCCCGCATTACCACCTGTTCATGACTGAAAGCAGCCTGATTCTCCTCCACACTTCAAAGAATAGGTGGATTTTTTTTTTTAGTCTCATGTTTGGGACCCACCACACATTAAGCAGTAAGCCAGCTTACACAAATGCATGTGCACACATACACAAAACACTTGGGCTTTATTGTATTGGGGTCATCCATTCTACCACCTCTCCCTGTAGGCAGGATCAGGTCAGAATTGTGCTGAAGGTGAAGTAATGTTTCCTCGTTCCCTTTCTGTGCAGATCATTTGCTGAGAACTACTTCTGCCAGCAGACCAGCTTCTCTGCCAAGAGTTCCAGCTATGGAAAGTGCCAAATCCCTCTCTGGTAATAATCTAGCCATGGAATAATTATGGATAGTATGGAGGCAGGCAGCCCTTGTTGTGATCTACACACCCTTTCCTAAGAGATACTCTCTGGATACGTCGGTTTGTGAAATAACAAATAGAAGTTGGTATGAAACAGGTGGACCTCAGCCTTCGCCTTAGTCTAGGCCCAGTGAGCACAGTTAACAGGTTACGTGTAAGGAAACTGGTATTGCTATGCAATCCTTTTCTGTTTGCAACCAGATAGGAGGAATGTAGGCAGATTAAAGCAGACAAGTAAGACTCATTCCTTTGCCAAACCCATTTTGAGATGTTGCATTTGTGATAGAACTTCTACAACTTAACATCTAGATCAGTAAGTAAATGTCTTGTAGTGAAATAAAAATAGTTTCTTTCTGAATAATATTTTAAGCCCTTAGAATGTACTCTTCGAAGTTCTGGAACAAGCATAGATCTTACACCTTTGGCCAAACTCAGTGGCAGCAACATCTACTCTAACTGGGGTTGCTAACGGTACACAAGGTGCTCAGGCAGCGGATGTGGGCTCCAGGATAAATTTGAACATCAGGCTTTTCCATTTTCCATTTAAGTGTCCCGCCGAAGCAGCGAAGAAATCAAACGGGATATTACTGCTCCCGATGGAACATCTCCAGCCTCCCTCGTAGCAATTGGGACTGCTTCGCCACAACTGTCCCTCTCATCTTCACCAACAGCATCTGTCACTCCTACAACACGGAGTCGAATAAGGTACAGCTCATTGCTAAACTCTTGGAAATATGGATTGTCTCTTTCTGGCACTGACCAGTAGAACTAGTGATGTTCATTGCTGGGACCACTGAACTAGGCTTGCTAACAATGAGTGCTGGCTGGCACCTGCCTTGCCACGTGGTGGCCTGCCTGCATTGTTGGAACATTCGCTGGCCTTTGCTGTGGTGCTTTTGCAGTATCCCTCAGTGGGATACTCGGCATTCTCCTCTCTTGCCTCTGGCTAGTTTCTGTTGATCCCCTGCATGGTGCGAGAACGGCCCCTCATCCCTGCACACTTTGAGATCCATACCTGCATCAGGAATGAATGAACTTAGCACCGTTTAAAATATACTGTGTGAGCTCCTTTAATTGTGGGTGGAGCATATTTGAAAGTTAGATATTGCAGCAAACAGCAGCATGAGAAGACAGCAATACTCACATGAAGGGAACTTAAAACATGCTCTGTTTCTGCTAAACTGCTTCGGTACTTTGGGACAGAAGAAAAGGCAGTTCTTCACACTTAACTCTGTACTGTTACCCTTTGGAACTGGTAAAGAAATGTTCATCAAATCAGAGTTGGAAAGGATTTTGCACATCACTTAGTCCAACCCCCTGTGCTTTGCCATGTGCAGTTAGGGTGGTCTTCCAGCTAAATGCCCCTTAAAGAGAAGGCAGCAGCAGTCCTTAAGGGAGACGTTCCCTGTTAAAGAACTCTCACTGTTTGCGCTTACAACGGTCAGACGTCTCTAATCTGTTCAGCTGCTTCTCCAAATTATCCTCTCGTTCAGTCTTCTGGGGCACCCAAAACCCCGTGTGTGCACTATTTGTAGGATGGCCCTTCTTGTTTCCGAGGACATTTGCCACATTGAATCTTCTGCTCTGCGGATTCCAGTGCACGTATTCATTCCTCCTCGTGCTTCTCCACCTGGTTGCCCTTCCAGCTTGTTTGTTTGTTTACCCGATTTGTATGCCACAGCATTCTCAGCAGCTTCCTGGCAGAATTCCCTTTCTTCTTCCAGTGTAGTGACATACGTTGGGTAGGTTATTCCAAATATGTCTTGACTAGTGAAAAAAAGAGAGTATTGGAATATGATACTAATGTAGTATGACGTAGCATGAAGTGAATGCTGTGCTTCTTTTAATGTAGCTAAAACTAGCCTTTGTTTTTAGTAGTTGCAACACAATGGTGATTTGTCTGCTAAAATGCTTTAATATTTGTTTGTTTGTTTGTTTGTTTTGCTTGTAAGCTGCCCATTTCCAAAGGCTGTAGGTAGCTAACAGTGTCAACATAAAAAATATAACCCCATAAAATCACAACCTTCAACTTGCACTGATGTTGTTTTGACTCAAACCAGCCCTGCCGAGCTTGTAGTAAAACACATCAGGTTGACAATTACATCATAAAGAATAGATATTTTATTTTGGCCCAACCAGATGTTAATTCATAGTGCAATCAGATGAAAGGGCAGACGAAAGATAGAAACCATTTCTATATGTTTATTTAATGTATCGGTATGGATGTTTAAAAAAAACTTGTTAGATATGTAATGTTTGTCAGTGTTAAAATAAGATTATCCTTAGAAATGGGAAGAAAAATGTAAATCTAAACAATATCCTAGTGAAGGTCTGTAATGCCAGCATAAAAAACAGTTAAACTGGCTTGGGGCTTGGAATGCAGTTGACCTAACAGACAGACTCATTTGTAAGATTAATATTTGTTGTAAACCACTTCTCATTGTGTCCACATAGTTCATTTTATTTGTTTCCTGAAACATTATTTTCAAAACAAAGAACTTGACATAAAATGTGTTCCTCTCTGGAATTTGGAAACAAGCTGTACTGTTCTTTCACAGTGTTACGGATGGTTAGATTTTTGTCTTCTTTTTAAAGAAAAAATTGATTCAGACTTTTTAAAAAATATTCTTAACGTGTAGTCTCACGTCCATATGTATCTGGCCAAAACTCTGTCAGCTAGCGCCATAGACAAGAAAGCTTTGACATAGCTGGAGTAATTCTGGGGAATCCTTACAGAAGCCCTGAAGATCTTTAGGAATATACACACACTGAAAATGGGTGCAAAATGGGAATGGAAAATGGATTTGAGGTTGGTGGGTAAGTGGAGTGGTGGAACAACACTCCATAAAACATAACACATGCCATTTCTTAATCACATTTTAGCAGGCTGGTGACTGCTAAATAGATAGCATTTGCTTCAAAGCAGGAAAAAAAATGATCAAACGAGAGAATGATGTGGTGTTTTGATACTGAGAGAAATACAGAATTATGAAAGAGGCCCTACAGAGGCTTTCTCTGAAATCATTGTTTAGACTTTTGGTTTGTCAGACAAGATTCTCAGTACATAGCTTCTATGAAAACTTGCAAATCTTGGTTTTGAAGGATGTTAACAGTTCCTACATATGATCCTGGTAAGACTTATTTAAAAGATTGCATTCTTTGTGGATCAGCAGTTGATTTGTGATTACTGTTATAAATAGAGAAGGCTAGTCCCTACAAATAGGAGGGAGGCAACTGTGGCTGTTGATTTTTCTGCTTTCAGTTGCAGGTGGGATTTTGCATGCCTTTATAGAAGGGTGCACACCAAATGGAAAATGTTTAGAGTTCAGAGGCAATGCATTGTTATTCAGAGGTTCAGCCCAGGCATTCCTTGCCCTTTTCCAGTCCTTCCACCCTGAAACCTCTGTGTTCTGAGTCCATCCTGTGGTTCAGGGCTGTGCCCAAGGCAAAACACATAGATTTTGGTCTGGAGACAGGCTTCCTGAAAATGGCTGCACACAAAGTTTTGCTCACCCCTAGTTAAATACGAAAAATCCAGTTTTGCAAGAAGGCTGGAACACACTTCTTGCAGTTACCTGCCATTTCCAAAACTGAGCAATAGAAAACTGTTACCTGAACACTAACTGTTCTCCAGAAATAGCTGTAGTAGGTGCAGCATCCTTAGCTGATCCCAGGAAACGTAAGCAGATTCTAACATGGTTGGTAGTTGTATGGGAAATGTCAAGGCTATAGGCTAGATTGAGAATTTTAAAAGTATGCTGGAAGAAGGCAACAACAAAACTGCCATGTTGTATGGTGTGGTATTGGCCCATCCCACACCCTCCAAATGGGTGCACTTTGGGTCCCTTTCCTTGAAACAGCACTATGTGATGGGACTCAGGAGGTGTGCCTTTTGGTTATAGCCCCTGCCCTCTGGAACAATCCCCCCCCCCGATACACTGTTGGCCCCAACCCAGTTGACCTTAGAAAGGCATTAAAAACCTGGTTTTTCCTCTGGGGCTAGGATGATTGGAGCCCCATCTGGAGGAGGGCAGTAATGGTAAGTCCCTGATCGCCTTTTGAGGGTTTTGTATTGGGTTTTAATTGGAACTGTTTGTTTTCTTGTCTTTTGGTTTATTCTAAACTACCTACAGCCACAGTGTTTGAGTTGTGTGGCCATATAAATGCCTTACATAAATTAAATAACTTTAAAAGAAAGCAGCCTGAATCACTGGGACTTGATTTGAGGGAGTTACCCTTTCCAGGTTTGAAATGAGTGGATATGGGCAGTAAGCAGCAACCTGCTTCTCCTATTCATTTGAAGGCAATTCGCACAGGAGAACGTCCTCCTTGATTTGGTCACTGTGTTGGCAGAGGTCTTTATGTTGCTGGTCCTGAAAGCAGCTGTAATCGTCCCAACTTTTTTTTGTTTTGTTTTGTTTTGTTTTGTTTTGTTTTTAGGGAAAAAGGCCTCAGCTGTTTGAGAAAAACAAGTCCTATGAAATTTGGTCTTTTTGTTGGATTTCTGTCCTAAACTTTATCACCCTCCCCCACCTTTCAGCACATACAAGTGGCTGCTCACTGACTTTGCTGGCTGGGCCTCATAGGACTTGAAGCTCAGTGTATCTGGATCAGGATCTTAGGGGAGAATTAGGTGCCCCGTTGCTGCTGCCCCTCCAAAAAGAAATCATGCTACATCACCCCATGCCTGGTTCCCTGCTCCCTGGGCAGAAAAAAGTGTGTGAGAGTTCATGTTTTAAGGTTATTGTGTGTTCTTTGAAGAGGTGGGCTATTCTTTTCAAAGGTGCATTGCCTTGGAAGAAGGTATCTCTTAGCAGTTAACGCTCCAACCAGTCAAGGTGACATTCCTAACCAGCCATGAGTTGCAGTGAGATGTTATCAGTTTATTTTCTAAATTTGAATTAAAGTTCAGTGTCACTTTATGCTTACACGTTATTTATATGTATAAAATGCTTCTGACTGTGATTCTGTGATCGTAAAGAGAAATACCCATGGTGCCCCCATTCCCCCCAGTCCATCTCAGAGTCTGAGCAGCCCACCCAGTTTTGCAGCAGCCTCCCTGGGCAAGGGCCTTCCTGGGGTGGGAGAAGTGGCCCTTGGCCCTGGGTGGCCTTCTCGTGCCGTGGCACAGCACGCAGATGGTATGTCTGAATGTTTGGGGATGCTTTAATTGAAAGAAATCTGTTCCTTCCTTTCCAGAGAGGAAAGGAAAGACCCTTTGTCTGCTCTGGCAAGAGAGTACGGAGGTTCCAAGAGAAATGCTTTACTGAAGTGGTGTCAGAAGAAAACAGAAGGCTATGAGGTAACCGTGGCTTGTCCTCTGCTTGGAGCGTCTGGTGGAAAGACGGGGCGTAGGCTAGGCTGTGCCACACTTCGCTGCCTCGATCGTGGGGGAACCGGTATGTCCTGTGCCTGCAGGAACAGATCCTGCGAGTCCCAGCTGAACAATTATTAATAGCTACTCTGGTTACTTTGCACAATGTAAATATCTTTTCTCACAGAGTAGCTGACACTCCTGTTCCAAGAGGCTAAAAATGGGTTGTTTTCTCTTCACACATTGGCCTTTCCCGGTAGAGAAGGAGCATAGAATGGATCGCCTCAGGAGGAGAGCGCAGTTGTATTTGGACAAAAGGCACCTAATGCATGGGATAATTCTTGCTGTTCTTTTGGATTGTGGAAGTTTATTCCCCACACAAAAGAACTACACGGCAGTCTTAGGCTTATTCAGAAACAGAGCCTGCAAATAATTAAGGCTGATCATTTTAATTAATGGTGTCAAAAACTTGGAAATGCTGAAGCTAAGCACCCAGTTCTTAAGCTCTTCCATCTATATCTGCAGTTATCAAATGATGCTATTTCTGAATATCAGGTCTTTGTAGATGGGCAATGGTTCTGTTTGCTGCTTTAAGCAGAATCACACCCTGTTATCTCCGGTCAGCAGAGAGGAGGGAGGGAATCCTAATTTTGGTCCCAGATCCTTCTTTCAATTGACCAGCTTTTCTTGGCTCTTCCACGCTACAGTTGTGAAATGAATTGGGGTGTGTGTGTGTGTTTTTGATACTCACACTCCATGTATAGTTAGTGTGTTAGGCTGAAGGCTTAGCCATGAACAGTCTAAACTTGTTCTGCTCTAAATAGGTTTATTCTTCTGAAGAAATAGAATGATTATTTAATTTTAAACTCCCAAATTATATTTCAGTAGGGCTTGTGCTCATTATTTTTATGTGTTACTTGGATTTTCAAATTTTGATATTAAAGCTATAAACATGTCATGTATTCTGTGCCAAACAGATTAATTTTATATGTTTTGTAGTTCAGATGGAGGGCTCGAAGGTTTGTTCAGGAAATGTAACTGCTGATAAATGCATTTATCAAATTTCTACACTGCCAGTCTGGAAGACTCATAGCAATACACAACACACAGGTAGTCCCCAGCTTATGACCATTCCTTCAGCAACTGTTCAAAATTATAATGGCGCTGAACGAGTGGTACTTATGGCCACTCCTCAGAGTTCCAGCCATTGTAGCATTCCCACAGTCACAGGATCAAATCCAGGCGCCCAGCTCATGGTTACGTTGTCACAGCAGTCTGTGGTCACATGATTGCAATTTCCAGTATTCCCTGCCAGCTTCCTGCAAGCAAAGTCAGTGGGGAGGTTGGAAGTCGTGGTCACATGAGGTCCTCGTTTAATGACCTGCATAGTCCTCGCTTAACAACGGCAACGGGGACTGCGGGAACTGCCATTCCTACATAGTGCCATCACACGACATCGCACTTTACAACTGCATTGCTTAGCAACAGCAATTTTGGTCCCAATTGCTGTTATAAGCTGAGGACTACCTGTAATCAATACACAACAGAATGTCCACAGTAAAGAATAAGAATAAAAGTAATATCATTTCTAAGAACAACCAGAGCCAGTCTACAATACAATACAGTATAAAATGTTTTGCAGTACAAAGGTGGAGTGGAGTTAATTAAAATATATTGTCCCCATGATTGTGTGCGTGCTGGTTATGAGGTCTGATGTATTAGAAAATGTTTTAAAACATTTATCTTTTATTTTTATCAAACAACCCTGAAGATCACATCACATCACATCAGCTTAAAAGTCAGTGAAATTTGAATAGTAATAATGAAACACCCTTTTCAGATTCTGTTAAAATAGAATAGGGAAGTTGTTCTACATAAACACTACTGTAATTAATAGGAACTATTCTTCTGGCTTCTCCAGGCCCATCAAAACATTTGTGCCACATTCTTAAATGCTTCAAACTCATTCCATAGCCAACCTACAGGCACTGATCGCTTTGTCATTCAGTTGCCTTTGTTGTTTGGTATTTTCTAAGCCATTGCCATTTTGGCCAACGTGTTTCATGGTTTCTGGGGAGAAATCTCAGTCTAATGCAGTTGTTGGTCAACACTTCCTCCTTTTCACAAATGAACTGAGTTTTCCTATATACACTGATATCCAAACTCCAAGTAACAGTGCAGTTTTGCTGAACTATTAAAAATAAATCCTGATTGGTAGACCTCTGCACTAGCCCCAGTTTATTAATAATTCTTTATCACTACTCAAAACAGTGACTGAATTCTATCACTTTCTCAATATACAATAAAGACAAAATCCTCCTAACTACCACCCAATTAGTTTATTTTCAATAGGTAAACTTCTTCTATTCCATAAATATTTACTTTGGATGTATTCAGAGAATACCTTGGCCTCCAAACACACTGGGTTTGGATTAGGATATTCTGCCATTAGATCAGAATATTTTAAATGCACCCTTTAGGTTGCCTTTATTGATTTAAGGAAGCCTTTGATTCAGTTCCTCAGAGGGGCTCTGGAGGAAACTAGCTGCAACATCCATTGATCATCACCTTCCCAGGTTGATTTTTGTTTCATCAAAATGCTACAGTGCAGATTGGAGGCAATTGTAATAGCGTTCTAGCCACCCTCATCTGAATCCTCAGAAGAGTTAAATGAGACCAGCTTCTTTATTTATTTACATTATTTATGTAGCTGCCCATCTCATGACAGTGACTCTGGGTGGCATACAAGGATTAAAACAAGTTTCTGAAAGCTATACTTGCTCAACTTCAAATGCCTTACTCGATTAGAGCTTGGCTGCATCTCTCATGGAGCCTCCTGAGAGTTTGCCATCTCAGACTTTGGCTGAAACACATTTTTGAGAGCGAGTCCTTGGTTCATCTTGCCCTACTGGAAAGGTTTTCTTCATCCTTGAGGAGGCAAACTGACTCTGATCTGGCATAATGTGACTTCTCATTCCAGGCAGTATCATCCCTCTTAGCCAGATTTACACAATTTGAGATGTAGACATACATCTCAAATATATACATAGGGCCAAAATCACCCACCCTTATTATAGTTGTCTTGAAGACTCTCCATTGTCCTTTATAATGCCTTGCCTGTTCCACACAGGATATTTTTTTACCTTGGCTCAAATTGGCCCACCACCTATTGTGGAGACTCTAGGCAAATATACTAGTCTCCTGTTCAGGAACCCTAGGTGTGTCTGCACAGATACAGAGGTTGAATAAGTACCCATGTATTGTTATGCTGCCCATTGTGCCACCCATGGAATCTGACATTCATAAACCCAGTGGATAGACATTTTAGTTGTCTTTCTGATCAAGAGATTCGTCTTCCTCCCGCAAGACCTATGTGAACAACCACTGTAAAGGTTGCCAAGTTTCTAGCAATAGCTATGGCTTGCAGAGATGAGTTGATACCCTCTTCTCAACTGTTTCAGATTTGATTTTTCCTATGTTTTAAATCTTGTGCCTCTGTTTTATTGGTTTGGGACTGTAAATAAATAAAGAAAATATATTCAAAGAAGGTCCAGCTTGTCTGCCACTCGCACGACTAAGAGAATTTATAACCCAGTGCTCTGGGTGTGGATTTTCGGCACTGAGTCAGGTCTTGGAGTAGGAAGTAAGGCTCAGACTACAGGATTCACTGGACGTTGTTGTGTTTGTTCAGAGACTGACCCTTTGGCACTGAGGTGTCCATTTCTTTTTGTAATCTCAGTGCCACTTATCAAATCATCTAAAATTGTGTTCCTAGCAGATCTGACACCAGTTAGCTAAAGAAAATCTCTGATTGGGAAAGAACGTGAACCTCATTGGCAAAGGGCTAAGAAATTAATGACAAAGGATAGTTGCAGTTGTTTGTTTTTACACTTTTGCTTTCCTTAATGACGTCAAGTGGAAACAGTACAATAAATTCCAAACTACTCATAACATGCTCCATAAAGAAGATTATGATCCGTTAAACTTGAACTGTAGGAGTCTCCTGAGATCTGTGGCTAGGAAAAGAGTGGGGGGAGATTCAGAAGGCACCACTTGGAGGCATTTTGTGGAAAAGGAGTTCATTTTTGCTGCCTCCGTTGCATCAGTAGATAAAAGCTTACATTTGCTGATCTCCTAAAGCTCAACAAGTGGGGTTGGATGGGAGGCCCCCCAGGAAGTCCCAGGAGCAAGGGCTCGGTTGGGAAGTGCAGTCTAAGAGGTCTTTCTGCCTGATGGCAGGCAAGCTGTGGAACTGTCAAACTGCGGTCCAGGACACTCAGCATTTAGGGGTGGGTAAGCAAACTGAGCTTAACCCAGATCATGCTGAAGCCATTCTTGGACTGGAGACATGGCCTGTTCAGGCTAGGGTTGAACAGGAAAGGGCTCTGGTTGAGAAAGTGGATGCCTTTTGTTTGCAAGCTTTGATGGCACCCCTTCCTCTGTAAGGCAGATCCAGTCACAGTAGGTCAAATCGATTGCTCCTGACTGAGGGGTGAGGTTTCATACCTTGGGCAGGGGGAAAGCTCATGCCACCTGCACTGCTCAGATGAATGCAGCCCCCCTCCTCAAATTTGTGCAATCAGTAGAAGCAAGAACTGTGGCCTCGGTTCTCTGGCCTTTTCCTAACCTAATCATTTTAGAGCTGGTCCAGGACATATTTCTAAAAGCAGGTTTCCAGGTTCCCTGCTGGGTTACGAACGCTGACCTGCACTCAAGAGCTGGTGCCAGAGCACAGATGCCCACATTCATCTCTTGGTTAAAGGAGGCCGAGCTTCTCAGACCTTGGAAAATCAATGACTTCAGCCTGTGTGAAACAATCCATCACTGGTGGCAAAATTAGCATCGTCAGGGCTCACTTCCTCCTGTTTTCTTCCCTGGGCTATAGGCAAGCAAAATCTTTTTCAATAGCAAAAAGAGTGCCAGGAAGACCCAAACAGGATTCCCCATCTTCCTGTCACTGACTGACCTTATGTGGCCAAAGGCCCCCAACCTTGTCCAGCAGAACACATTGTAATGTTCTCCCTTCCGCTGTTCTGGTAGGACAGCCCCATACTCAGAACATCTGTCCCTGCAGCTGTGACAAGGTGAGCTGGCTGAGCACATCCCTCTGCACTGTTCATCCTACAGAGGCCTCAGCCTATGAGAGGCAGGTTAAGCAGGTCCGTTTTACTCTTTCCTGCCACCTCCAGATTGTAACAGTAAGGTTGCTGTGTTTTGTGTGGTGGGAAGACCTGTTATGTCAAAGACCATTTCTACCTCCAGTAGACATATTACTGTAGATTATCTTTAGTTATTCAGCCTTGTAATTTGAACTGCTTCTCATGCCAACATTTGTACCACCCTGTTCTAAACTGCACTCAAATTATGGTTTACATAGTATTAATATTCATTTTAATTTTTATCTACACTTTATAGTGGGGCCATGATTTTATAGCTTTGAGCTAGCAATTCTAATATTTCTTTAGTTTTCCATAGCTCCTAGGCAGTGCTGTTCCTATTGGAATGGTTGTAAATCTTAGAGTGCTAAGGTTATTTTATCCTGGTCTGTGACTGAAATAAAGGTTGGGCTGGATTAGACTATCTCTGGTGCACACACTTAGAAACTAGCTGGTCATCCCAGTGAAAATGCCCCCGAGGAGAGAAAACGAGACCCCCACAAGCTTAGCCATAAAAGCCCATCAGTTCACCTGGCCGGGTCAGAACTGTTCACCTTCTTCCTTTCTTTTTGTAGCATCCTTGGTAAACATCAGTACAGCACCTATGTCTTGTTTTCATTATGTCGCCTTGAGAAAGAGAAGTTTGCCTGAATCATGAAGGAAAAACATAAGCAACTTTATGGCTTTACTTTTAACTGCTGGGTCCTGGAGGGCTCTCTTTGGGGAAAGATGGCCATAAAACCTGGGGCCAAGAACGAAAAAAGCTTTGCTCAGAGATAACCTAGCAGATGTATGCACTGTGGGAGCAATATTCACCAAATCATATCCAGAAGTGGGTTTTTTTCCTAAGTAGCCTTTGACATCCTGGGTGAAATTGTATCTTTTTAATAAAAGAAGTATTTATTTTGTTTGTTAGGTTTTTTGTTTTTTCTATTGCTTTTTACACGTGTATTTGTAGATGGTCCAATGATAATTCAGCAAATTGTTCATTTATTTCTGGAGGATTTGTTTTTCTCATTTATATTGTGACGTTTTCCCAACCCTCTAATCAGTCTGTAGCTTCCATTAAAGTGTGGTTAATCCACCAGTGTCTCTTTCCCTAGCTATCAAATGTAGCTGTAGTTTTCTGATATTCTGAGATACATTTCCATTCAAAATAAAAAGCATAGGAACAAACAAAATAATGCTGTAGGGAAAGGATCATCTGGCTAGCAAATGCATAAACCAGCCTGATGTTCATTTGTAATAGTGGGATTAATCCTGCATATAGAGAAATACAGTTGCTTACTGAGTATTAGTTGGCAATAGTTACATATGCTGACATTTCTGTGCTGACAAATGTATTTAATTGAGAAAAAAACTTAGCAACATGTGTAGATGATTTCTAAGTGGTCTCTCAGCAAAATGTTAGATACCTCATGCCCTCATGTTTGAGCATCATTCAGAGAGAGATAAGACCTAGGCATTTAGTCATTGGTGACTTAGCAAATTGAGTAAACAGTGCCATGGACTGTGGCAAGGTTACCATCAGTCAGCATTTCTTCCATGAACCTGTAATGTTATTACAAGCTCCTTTTCAGAAATCTTCATCTACTTTTGCTTGCTTAGAATTACCATTAAGCACAGTTCAACATTTGCCAGTGACCTTAAATGGTTGAAATGATCTCATATAAAACCAAAAATCATGTGAAATGTACACCCTCCCAAATACATGGGTATCAAGAATGTAAATAAATCCCAAGGCTGCCAAAGGTTACTGACTAGGGCACAGTTTCCCATTTGATGTGTTTGAGAGAGAAGCATTTTCACACACATCCATGAGAAAAATATTTCAAAAGAAATCAAGCGCGAACACTGTCCACACCCTGCTTTCTTATTCCAGACCCTCTATTTGTAAAATCTCATATCCTTCTAAAAAAATCATATTCAATTGTCTTTGAGATTCCCATTGTGTAGCTGCATCAGCTTCAGAGTCCTCACAAACAAGCGGCAGATCTTATAGTGACCGGAGGGGTGGAAGAGGTCTTTTCCCTGCTCCTCCTCTGGGGCTGTAATCTGACCAGAGACTGCCTGTGAGCAGTGCGGCCCCGGTAGAGAAGAAGCCAATGTTAGGGGTTTTTCTGTGGCAAAGCAAGCGGTGTAGAACCTTCCCCTTGAGTGGTTCATGTAAATACTATCTGGCTGAACTATGCTCTTCTTCCATAACTTTAAACTCTACCTCTGTGAAAAAATAAAAATTTGCTTGATCAAACCCTGAGGCTACATGGATGTGAAATATGGAGAGAAACTGAAACAGGGTCAGAGGAGGGCAGAAGGATGCTTGGGGCACTAGAAACTAACCACTGCGAAGAGAAATGGAAGGCACTTGAGAAAAAGATAGCTGCTAGCACTCCTCTCATATCTGGGATGGTGTTGAGACCAATTCTCCATCACCACAGAGAGCAAGGCCTGGAATGCTGCATTTAAGCGACAGGGAAGCAGGTGGCAAGAGCAGCTGGATAGCGTCCTCAGTGATCCAGAGAGATGGTGGATGCTTTGAAGCAAACAGCCCTCTGTCAGGGATGCATTAATTTGGATTCCTGTTCTGAGCAGCAGATTGGATTTGATGGTCTGAATCTGTGATTCTTTGGAAGTTAGCAGCCGATCGAGAGTTTTGGCTGTGGTAAAATGGATGAACCCAAATTGCCCAGAAAGCAGCCACTGGTTTCAGTGAGAGATTCTTGTTTTTATGCAACGTCTATCCTTGTTTTTCTCTCCCCCACCAATGTAAATATTTACACTCCACTGTTTTTCTTTGCTTACTGTTTAGTTTTATATTTAATTTTGCTTGGATCTTAATTTTAAAAAATCCCAGGAATATAAATACTGTACCTTGCTCCCATACTAACTTTCTCTTACATGCTTCTGTTTTCCCCATTTTAGAACATTGATATCACAAACTTCAGCAGCAGTTGGAACGATGGCCTGGCTTTCTGTGCTGTCCTCCACACTTACCTCCCAGCACATATTCCCTACCAGGAGCTGAACAGTCAGGACAAGGTAGAGTATTTGCCCGAGAGCTGCCAGGGGCCGTTAGTGCTAGCAACCCTCGTTCTGATCCCATCCTTGGCAGCTCACTTCTTTCTCACCCTTTTTGTATGCATGCAGTTCTTTCTACTAACAGGCTCCCCCTTCCTTTTTCTTACGCTGTAATGTATTTATTTAAATACTTTGTGCGAAATACAGTTTTTACTAATTAGTGGCTGGATAAAACTCGGAGGTATGATTCTAAGCCCCATCTCTGGGCAAAGCTCAGACTCCCTCCTCCTGCCAGCAGACAGTGGAGAAAATGGGGTTCTTTGCTACCATTTCTCCTACAGGCAGCTTAGTCTTTCCTTCAGGCCTGGCCAAGTTTTTTTGTTTGTTTATTTACCATACGTATATAGCTGCCCATCTCACAAAAACGTGACTCTGGGTGGCATACAAACATAGCAACAGTTAAAACGACATAATAACCCAAAAACATTCAAACCTAAATAAAATAAAAAACATAGAACCCAAGATTGCAGGAAAACAATGGTCACTTGACCTCGTACAGCCACCTTTCAGGCTCCATGGAATCCCCAAGGTTGATGGAAAAAACATGTTTTAAGGGCCTTCTGGAAGGCTAACAAAGATGGGGCTAACCTCACCTCGAGGGGAATGATGTCCTAGAGGGCAAGGGCCATAGCAGAAAAGGCACACCACCTGGGTCCCGCCAGATGGGGCTTCTTTGGAGATGTGACCCACAACATACCCCTCCTGCTGGACCTGGTGGGACTGGTAGATGTGAGCGGGAAGAGGCGGTCTCATGCCATGAAGGGCTTTAAAGGTCAAAATCAGCACCTTGAATTGCACCCAGAAGCAAACTGGCAGCCACTGCAGCTCATGGAACAGAAGTATAACGTGCGCCCTCCTAGGGGCATACATAACTGTCTGCGCAGCCGCACTCTGCACCAGCTGAACGTTCTGGATGCTCTTCAAGGGCAGCCCCATGTAGACTGCATTACAGTCATCCTTTCTAGAGGTGACAAGGGCATGCGTGACTGTAGAGTAGAGCTATAGAGCCTCATGGTCCAGGAAAGAGTGCAGTTGGTGCACAACGTGAAGCTGTGCAAAGGCCCTCCTAACCACGACTGCCACCTGCTCCTTAAGCAGAAGTTGTGAGTCTAGAAGGACCCCCAGATTGCGCTCCAGGTGTATCTGGTGCAGTGCCACCCCATCAAGTACCAAAGATGGTAAATGTCAGGCCCAGTCCAAGAACAACAGGGAAGCAGTCCAACTGAATTCACTTCTTTTATTGCTTACACCATAAAGACAAAATCTTGCCAGACTAAATCTGTACTACTGCAACTAGTGGATATACCCTGGGAGATTCTAGGGAGTGGCTATTCTAAACTTCTTACACTCCCCACACTCCTGCTCCGGGCTGTGCTGACTCTTGTCTCTCTCCCCTTTCTGGAATGTGTCCCCTCCTTCCCGAGAACCTTGCTCTCTCCTGCAACCTACCACAGTAAATTCCCAAAACCAGAAGGCCCAAAGACCTAGAGCCACTCAGTCTTGCCAGGGTTCAGTTGAAGCCTGTTGTTCCCCATACAGACCCCCACAGCCTCCAAGCACCAGGACAAGACATCAACTGCATCGCATAGTTCATCAGGGGCAGAGATATACAACTGAGTATCATAAGCATACTGATGATACCTCACTCCATGGCAATGGATATTCTCAGCCAGCAGCTTCATGTGGATGTTAAATGGGAGCGGAGGGAGAACCGAGCCCTGCAGAACCCCACGTAACAAGGGACAAGAGCAGGACCTCTCACTCCCAATTGACACCAAATGGTACCAGCTCTGCAGAAAGGAAGTGAACCAGCACAATACTGTGCCACCCACTCTCAGCCCACAGAGCTGATCTAGAAGGATACTGTGGTCAGTGGTATCAAACCTGGTCAAGAAGAGCAAGGACAGATGCACTACCCTTGTCCCTCTCCCGCCAGAGATCATCTAAACACACAACCAGTGTCATCTCCATTCCATGCCCAGGCCTGAATCCCAACTGAAAGGGGTCCAGATAATCCACTTCATCCAGCACTGCTGAAGCTGCTGCACAATCACCTTCTTCACAACCTTCTCTAAAAAAGAGAGGTTTGACACTAGATGAAAATTGTCTAGTATGGTGGGATCCAATGATGGCTTCTTGAGGAGGGGGCAAACCAACGCCTTCTTAAGTAGCAGCAGAACAACCCCCTCTCTCAAGAAAGAACCACCTCTAGGATCCAGCCACACGAGGCCCTGGGCAGCCTTAATTAGCCAGGAGGGGCTTGGATCAAAGGAGCAGGTGGCTGAGCTCACAGTCATAAAGACCTGTCCACTTCCTCAGGCCCAACAGGATCAAACTTCCCAGATAACTGGGCAAGACTGTACTATAGTCATCTCCCCTGGACCTGTACCCAAGCTGGCATCCAACTTGGAACAAATGTGAGCAATTTTGTCCAGCAGATGCTCTTCAAATCTTCTGTACAGCCTTGTAGGTAAACCTCCAAGTCCCCCTTCCCCAGGAGGGCTCGTGTCATCTTAAACAAGGTCACTGATTGACTATCTGCAGATGCAATAAGGGCGGAGAAGTATGTATGTATGCATTTATTTATTTAATCAAATTTATATGGCCACCCATCTCACAAAAAATGACTCTGGGCGGTATACAACAATCCAATAAAACAAATATATAAACAATCATTATATAAAACCATTATATGGTAATTATTAAAACTTTAAAAACTATAAAAACAACTAAAACAGAAAAGGAAAATAATAGGTGAAGGGATGTTAATAATCGAGCCACCTTACTACTTCATCTGTCCCCTGGGGCCTCAGGCCTGCTCACCTAACCAGGTCTTGAGAGACCTTCGAAAACTCAGGAGCGATGAGGCCGATCTCATCTCTGGGGGGAGAAGGTTCCACAATCTGGGCACCACAGCAGAAAAGGCCTGCTGCCTAGGGCCCGCCAAACACAGCTCCCTAGATGATGGAACTCGTAACATAACTGCTCTGCCAGACATAGTGGGATGGGCAGAAGAAATCAGGGAGAGGTGGTCCCTCAAATAACCCGGTCCCATGCCATGAAGGGATTTAAAGGTCAACAACAGCACCTTGAATTGGACCCAGAAAGAGATTGGTAACCAATGCAGCTCATGAAGCAGAGGTATAACGTGTATGCTACCAGAAACACACGTAACTGCCCACACTGCCGCATTCTGCACCAGCTGAAGTTTCCAGATACTCTTCAAGGGCAACCCCATGCAGTAGTCCAACCAGGAGGTGACCAGGGCATGAGCAATCATGAGTAAGGCCCCTTGGTCCAGGAATGGGCGCAACTGGTGCAAAATACGAAGTATTGCCACTTCACCACCCTCACCATCACAAGGTCAGCCTTAATAGCAACTCTCACCCATGTTTGATCAAGTTCATCCCTCGTTGCCCTCCAGTGGTGCTCTAGACGTCTCTTCTCCTGTTTCATCTCCCTCAGCTCTTCCGTAAACCATGGAGAGCTTCTCGAGGGGAGGAGTCACATGGGCACAATTTGATCCAAGGCCTCAGCTGCTCTCTCATTCCAGCGATGGCCAAGGCTTCAGTCAGACCATGCAGCAGACCATCAGGAATAACACCCAGCTCCCTCTGGAACCCATCAGGGTCCATCAGTGGCCAGGAGTGGACCAGTCAAATATGTCCCACCTCCCTGTGGCAGGGGCCAGCGCTGGAGAATCTTATGATTACCAGGGTGTGATCTGACCATGATAGGGAAGACACCAAGAGCTGCCTCAGTTCCAGATCATGTTGCCACTGCTCCAACAAGAAAACCAGGAGTGTGACCACTGGCCCATGTTGGGTCCTGGATGACCTGAACCACTTGAGACCCCACCCCAGAACACACAGACACAGACCCAGCCAAGTCTCGGTAATACACGCCAGATAAAATCGCAGATGCGGGAGGCCTTATTACAGGCTGACAGCCAAAAGCCAGGGCCTCTGAAGGTCCACTGGCCAGGATATGGGGCCAAATCCCAGGGGCTGCAGTGCACAAGGCCCTGGGCCCATCTTCCCTGGGAGAAGTTGCGGGCAATCTTAACTTTGCTTTCACTTGAACCGTAGTGGAAGAAGTTGCTTTCCTCAGCAACCATAGGTAACACTAGGGCGTAGAGTTTTTACTGTTTTTTAATTTATTTCTTGTTCCCGGGAAGTTTGAATGATTTACAAGAGAACAATAAAAGTATCTTAGGTAAATCCAAGAGTGTTTAAAGACAGTAAATATAAAAAGTAAATTAAAAGTTTATTGTAGGCAAACAAAATATCAAAATACCAGGCAGCCGTTAGCTGGATGAATAAGCAGACTTTTTTTTTATCTTTCTGAGAAACACAGAGTGAAGGCTACAAATTGGGGGGGGGGGGGCAGGAGTAGGGAGTTCTGCGCAGCAGCAATGCTCCTGACCTCAGCGATGCTTTTTCAAACTCAGCCTCAGAGTTGCTAATCTGGTAGCACCTTTTCTGACTGACAAATTGTATTAAAAAGTCATTTATCTCCTGGTTTTCTGTCACTGTAGACTAACAGGGCTCTCCTCTGACAATGTCTAGTTAGCGATGGAAGGTCAGAGAAAGAACAAGGGACTACCTGGACACGGGGAGGATTCTCTGAAATAGTGAAGAGAAAGAGGAGCCTTTGCAGGGAAGCGTGTGTGTGTTTGGTAAATGTATATTTGTATTGGAGGAAACGGCCTTTTCCTGGAGTCCCCAGACTGTGTAGCTCCCAATCCTGCATGAGCTGAGAGGTCACCTTCAGTGACTGTGGTTAATATTGTTGACTAAGAACAACTACTAAGGGGCTATTAATAAAACACATTCCTGCTGTGAAAAAGACAGAATTTAGAATCTGGTGTGTTGGGGAAGTAGCCCTTGTACCACCCTCCACTGCTTCTCTCCTTGGGCCCTTTCCTGTATTCCTTTCTCACTGCTTCTCCCTTTGTCACAGGTCTGGCCTTTTTCATCTCTAAGTCCCATTTCCAGCTGCTTTCTGTCCCTCTGATTCCTGCAGTTACTAGGTCACCCACAAGCATCTGTCTTTTTAATGTGAAGATCTCAGTTCTCAAAAAAATTCCCAAAGATCCATTTTGGAAGGGGTGAAAACGCCTGTTACTCATTTTCAACAGAATTTCTCTGAAGAAAGAATACATTTTATTTCTATTAGAGAATTGTTGATAAATAGTGAAAGGGGAAGTGTGCTACAAAGGTTTTGTAAAAGCATACAGTGAAGACTTTTAAGTCTTTTAAGACTTTTAATACAGGGAAGACTTTTGAGCCAGTTTTGATATTTTAATTGTTCATTGTGTGGTAATTGTGACTTAACTATTTCAGAGAAGAAACTTCACACTGGCTTTCCAGGCAGCTGAGAGCGTTGGCATCAAATCCACTTTGGTGAGTTATTGCAAAGATGAACCCAGTGTATCGAAACTCTGGTCTTATGCCTGAAAACAGTGCTAAATTGGGGCATGCCAAATGCCGTCCCGTGAAAGGCACAGAAAGGAACGAGAGGAATAGTCCAGGGGTTGCAAGTGTCTTCTGCTACTTGTCATCAGTTGCCATTTCTGTGTCTGTAAATCAAGGTAAGACACAGCAGAGAAGTCTTGGTTTGTAACTTGCAGACATCTATTATCCCTTGCTCCTTGCTGTCATGACATTCAAATCTCTAATCTGCTGTTATATTTCGGACTTGGGAGTTCAGAGAAGACAGCTCTCTCAAAAGAAAAAATGTAAAAGCAACCCAGTGGGAAGGCTAGAGGACAACCCAAGCGACTGCTCAGTTTGCAGATGGATGCTGAAGCTGAGAGGCTGGAGCAAGCCAGTTCACACAGCCTGCCCACAGATCAGTAGCACAGGCTGCCTGAGCGCCAGTGGGAGCTTTGGTGTAAGTGAAGCAGCTGTGGCCCAAACCTTTCAGCTCCAGCCTTCTCTGGCTTCTTCGCAAGAAGCCAGCTGCACGTCTTGTCTATTCTTTTCTGTGCTGTCATCAAGCTGGGGAAAGCCGGAGAGCCCCAGACGTGCGTAAAAGTCTTCTGCATATTGCAAAAGGGTCTAACCGAACTCTCAGTCAAAGGAAAACACACCATGTACTCCTCTTACAGGCAAGCTATAAGCATTAGAGGCAGAGCCTGCACACTTTTAATTATTAATGTTATTTCTATTATAGACAACCTTATGGTCAGAAGGGAAGAAGTTATTTCTATGTGGCTAGGATCTTTTTATATTTCTGCCTTTTTTTCCCTTGTTTTCTTGGTAGGATATTAATGAAATGGTACGAACAGAGCGCCCGGACTGGCAGAACGTTATGCTGTATGTCACAGCAATTTACAAATACTTTGAAACCTGAGAGCGGAAATAGTGGGAAGAAGCAGAAACTCAAGACTATACCCTAAAACCAGCTGGTCTCTTCTGGTGGACCCTTCTGGTCGGTTGGGTGAGGAGGTTTAGTTACCAGAGTGTGATTGGGCAAACTCAAGATTGTTACAAAGATTTCGTCCTTTTCTTGCCAGAGACTAAACTGAATATAAGCTGCAGAAAGCACAAGGCTAAAGAAGGTGGTCTGATTGTATCACAAAGACCTTTCTTTAGAAAATATTCCTAAAGGTTCAGTAAATATTATTTTTGTGACACCACAATGCCCCCCAGAGCAGAAGCAGCAGCTCGTCATAACCTTGTCAAAGCCATATAATATCTCCATCTCTTCAGCTAAAAGAAGTGCAAAGGTGCTTTTTCCTTGCCACGTTCACTTGATTGAAGACGGTGTCAAATCTGGGCCACGCGCAGCAAACAAGAGCGACAGGCCTACTTGGCCAAAGAATCAGTGTCTTAAGGCCACCTCTTCCGGAGTGTTGATCGTAATAAAGGCTGCTGCCTCAGTTAACAGGTGGAAGCTGGGATAACATGTAGATCATCCCCAAATTTCAGAAGACTACCCTATGGAGATCAGTTGACCTTTTCTTTTGGAAAAACGCCTTCAGAAGAATTAAGTTTTTTCTTTTTGAATTTTCTTTTTTGGGTGGTGCTCTGGATATGCTTGTTTCAGATGAAGAGAATGTTTGGGTCACAGGACAGGATAAGCTCTTCAAGAAGTGTTCAGCGTTTTACAGTAAGGGCCTCGCCCCTGCGGAGTGTGTAGGTTAGCTGGTAAAAGCTGCTGCTGCTGCTGCATCCTGGGTTCAATTAAAAGTGGCTTCTGTGGGTTTCCTCTGCACAGCTTATTTAAATCAGCAGCGCACATCCTGCAGAGGGCCTGGCAGGCAACGCTTTTCAGACTTAAACTAATAGGTGGGATTCATGCCGTTAAGGAAATGGAAGAACAACTCTGGATGCTTCTCCTGTGACTTTAAGTCAAGCTGGCCAGACACTGTGGGTGGAGGCAGGTGCCTTGCTCGGCCCTGCCTTGAGCGGAGCAGGAGCTCCGGACCCCAGCACCAAAGGCCGAGTGGTTCCACAGGGTATCTGGTAGCAGCCGAGGGAAGACTTGGGAAAGCCACAGTTCTAGAATTCGGCCGGGGCAATTAAGAAGACCTCAGCTGCAACCGCCACTTTCCTGGATGTGCCAAGTGGCGGTCTACTTGCTCCTGAGGAAAGCGCATTCATTGCTTTTGTGAAAACAAAGTCTGTTACCTTTTGTTTGTAAATGTACTTTGCTTTTCCCCACTAGATGCAATTTTGCATTCTTCTGTGTGCCTGGCACTCTTAAAGGACACTTTTGAATGTTGCTGGTGTATGAGCTGTCAAGAATGTAATCCAGCTCCAAGATTTAGCATTGAAAGCTCCCTGGACAGGCATTAAACCAAACTGTATCCTGAGGCAAGTCAAAATGAACTCTGAAGAATGTAGCCAGAAAGTTTTCTTGTGCCTCTGCAAGTCTCTTGCACGTCATTCACAGAGCAAAAGCATGTTACAAATGTGGTCACAACCATAAGCTGCCTAGTGGGTTCTCCTTCTAAATGGTCAGTTTCTGTTTCTGGTTTTCCTCAAGGATGCCTGCAAATACTGATGGATTTGCCTTGTTATTCCTACCATGGAAAATTGCACTGCAGAAAATACATGTGGACTTACTCTGCACCCCTCCTCCCAGTGTTTTTCTGTTTGTCTTAAAATGAGACTTTGAAGCAAGACTCATCGCCACCATTGAACCCTCTCTGGATGGGGTGGTACAAAGAAGGCTGCTTTCAGTCTCCTCTTCGAGAACCTTACGATGCCTCCCCCCTCCCCCCCCCGCGATTTATTGCATCCTAAAAGAAGACATTTATTTTTCCTCTAAGCAAATGGCAACTTCCTGTAGCCCAGGGACAGTGAGACGAGCTTTAAGCAGAACCCTCTCCAGGAATTCTTGCTCTGGGCTTCCAGGGGGGCAGGCAGGGTTGGAGAAGGAGTGTTGGTGAAAGGGAGATGTGCGAGGAACAAGAGGCAAATGCCTTGAGAGTGAAAAGTATGTAGAGCAGGGAAAAAACCTCCTGTCTTGTTTCCTTGCAATGATGATCTGTAACTTTGGATAAAGTTTGCATTATATTAAGATCCTCTCACCAAAAAATTATTTTATCAAGGCA